GGGGGGGGGGGGGGGGGGCGGAGTATTACATACCAAGATATGGCCTGTCTTACCAAATAATGCTGGCCCGGGGGGGGGGGGGGCTTCATAGCTTCCTGAGATCAGTGAAGGATTTTTTTCCCCCATTCAACAAATGTTTATTTTATTTTAACAAGATATTTAATAGCAATAGCACTTACTTATATACCGCTTCACAGTGCTTTACAGCCCTCTCTAAGCGGTTTACAGAGTCAGCCTATTGCCCACAACAATCTGGCTCCTCATTTTACCCACCTCGGAAGGATGGAAGGCTGAGTCAACCTTGAGCCTGGTGAGATTTGTATTGCCAAATTGCAGTCAGACAGCAGAAATAACTTGCACTACTGCATTCTAACCACTACGCCACCTCAGCTCTTAGTAGGCAAACCAACAGCAAGGTTAAACTTCACAGTCCTGTTAACCATCTATTATTGTATATCACTTGCAATGGCTTCTAATCTACCACCACAGTTGTTGTGTCTGGTCCATAAGAATCGAGTGTCCTTGACTGATTCTTAACAATAAAACCTTTCCTTAAAAATTTAATTTTAACCAGGATCTTTCCCAACAATTGAGTCTCATTCACCAAAATTTTAAGTCTCTATTATAAATATTTCCACAGCTTTTCTTGTTCAAAAAAAAAAACGTGTTTCCAGTTGTATATAAATGAATCTATTCCCCAGTCTCCATCTTATTGAGAAAGTCTGATTCATTCCTCATCGGTTCTGTCCATTTTAAGCCTTGAAAATGCATGTCTTTTTTTTTAAAAAGCCTTTTCAAGCCAAACTGCTTCTCCTTCAAATCCACCAGCAATACAGTTGGATTTAATTGTAAATCAGGTTTAGCTCCTGTTGCTTACAGTTGAGTATCAACTATGGCTTGATTTAAAACCATTGCTATTTTATTTAAAAAAATATTTATCCATTTGAACTTATAAGTTGAAAAGCATTTTTCCCAAGGTTTCCCAAAGGGCTTTGTTTTTAAATTAATGCACTGTTTGCATTTTTTGGTATAGTCCAGGACAGCCTGTAACTGAGATTTCACAACAAAGCATAAACAATTTTTCTCAAGGATGGGGGAATTAGATATAGCATACCAGAATAACCGCAGAGAACCCTGCGATAGTGTTTCCCCCATACATAACACAAATAAATGGAAGGGAAAGGAAAGATTCCATCAGAATTTTTTTTAAAAAAAAGAATAAGATCAGAGGCTTTTAAAAATTAATAAGATGCAAAATCCCTGTAGTGAAAACCCAGCTGTAAATGTCAATCACCTCAGTACCCAGAAAATGCCCATTGACGTCTATACAGAGAAAGTGAAAGTGCTTACTTGACAGCAAAATAAAGCAGGAAAAAGACACATACACAAAATCAGGAATCATTGAGATCTTAATGCGAATTGTGATAGCATATAGCACCGATTATCACGAGGGTTAAAATCAGAAGCTAAGCCATCCAGGACAGCAAACACAAGTGCTTTAGAGACTTACAGAGTGCTATTACATAAACACTGCAGAATACTCCACTGCCCAGTCCTAATATAAGTGCAGATGGACTACCTGTACGGAGAATCAAATACTTACCAATCTTCCCAGCTCCAACGGAACTCAAAATTACTAAGATGGTGGGAAAACCAATTAATGAACCTGGATGGGGGGAGGGGGGGAATCTGTAAGTTTTTTTATATTTAAAACATTTTATTTTGCACTGCTACAATTAACATTATATACAAATAGACAGAAACATACGTACGATATAGAGTTGTAAACTCTTTAAAACTGGGGGACAGAAAATGTGCAATTATTCTGTAGTAATTCAATCTTTTGAAGAGACACTTCCAGAGGTAGCTGCATACTTTGCAAAAGCTATGACACACAGTAGATGCTGTAAAAAATCTGGGACCTAACAGTGGTGTGGCTCAGTGGTGGGATTCAATTTTTTTTACTACCAGTTCTGTGGGTGTAGCTTGGTGGGCGTGGCAGGGGAAGGATACTGTAAAATCCCCATTCCCTCCCGATCAGCTGGGACTCGGGAGGCAGAGAATAGATGGGTACGGGGCCAGTCAGAGGTGGCATTTACCAGTTCTCCAAACTACTCAAAATTTCCACTACCGGTTCTCCAGAACTGGTCAGAACCTGAATGTCACCTCTGGTGTGGCTGATTAAAGGATTGCTGAACTGAGACTCAGCACATTTTAAAGTAGCATTTTTGAAACATTTTAAAAGAATTCACAGCCTTGCTTCCAATGCAGGTAATTCTCGACTTACAACAGTTCTTTTAGTGACAGTTCTAAGTTACAATGGCAGTGAAAAAAGTGACATGACCGTTTTTCACAGTTACGACCTTTGCAGCGTCCCCATGATAATGTGATCAAAAATCAGATTTTTGCCAACTGCTTCATATTTATAACCGTTGCAGCAACCTGAGGTCATGTGATCCCCTTTTGCAACCTTCTAACAAGCAAAGTCAATGGGGAAACCAGATTCATTTAACAACCAGGTTACTAACCTATCAACTGCAGTGATTCACTTAACAACAGGGGCAAGAAATGTAGTAAAATGGGAAAAACTCACTTAACAAATGTTTCATTTAACAACAGAAATTTTGGGCTCAGTTGTGGCCGTAAGTTGAGGACTACCTGTAATTGAGTATTAAAATCTTCTAGATTTCAATATGAAAATCATATTTTCATATATTTTAATTAATAATCTAACACTGCAGCCAGCACTCACTGGTTGATTATGAATGCCATGTAAGAAAGATCTAGAAAGGTCTAACAGAAGAAATCATTTATTCCTATACTAATTAAATGAGAGGAGTGACCTAAAATATGAAGGCCTGTAAAAGCAAGTCTATTTATAACCATCATAGATTCTGTTGTGTGGAAACTTCTCAAGTCACTAAGTCCTTAGAAAATTTAGATGAGAATGTCTTTACTCACCGATCTATGCAGATGGTATGCATTGTATCTAAGCGCATGTACAGCATTTCCGTAGCTTGTGCAAGCTGTCATTTTTCAATTAAGGTTTAAATTGTTTATGTTATAGTGTTTAATTGCAACATGGTTGAAAACAGACCATTATCAAAAGGTATTAACTGCTACAAGAGACTTTTGGAGGAAAGGATACAACCTGAGGTAAAGATCCAGGCTGAAGTTTACAGAGTTCAATAAAAAGTGTTGTGTACATGATTTCCATGTGAGGCGGAACAGGAAGCTGAAACAACTCAGCAAAGATCACCTGGGAAAAATATGAAAGCAATATGATGAAGAATATTTGCAAAAGCAGAGGAGCACAAAATATTTCATTGTCAGGAAATTCCAGTGTTAAAATGGCCGATCCCAGTCCCACAGTGGTGTATCAAAAATGGTTCAAATTCAAAATGGGTCCTTAGCTCCGTTCTGAGATGAAGAACTACGGTATTAGCAGAGAGAAAGATCCCTGGCACTAAAAAAGAAAAGGTGACATGATAAATGCAGCGCTTACCTCAACAATGTGGTAATTCAGGGGGATCTTGTGGTTTCCTGGATAGCTTGTTAACTGGACAGCACTGCAGAAAGAGAAAAGCATGTGATTTAGAATTAAAAGGGCAAGCGGTAAGTGCAAAAAAACCCAAAACATATTTCTTGTGATATGTGCCAGGATCCGCTCCTTCAAAAAGCCTCTTTCCATGCTGAGAGCAAGTCTTGGAAGTAGCTGCCCAAAGCTCTATCACCATGCAGTGTCAGTCCCTCTTTGGATAGATTGACATAGAAATTGATATATCCCTACCATGTCATTCTCTCTTTCCAAAAGGATCTGATGATGCAGTGGAGGTTTTCTTCGATCACAAATCTTTCAACAGAGTGGCTCCCAGGCATAATTGGACCCTGACAAAACAAACAACAGAGATTAATTTATAGATATAGTCCAAAACTCCATCTTCTTCCCAAAAACGGGATTACATCTCTGGCATCATAGCATTTTCCAACAGTTTTAGTAGAGTGGTTTGTAGGTCATTTAATGTTTATAACAGATTTCAGAACAAAGTTCAGCTGCCCCAAAAACGTTTTCTTTTAGAAGCAGCTTTTTCTGCTTTGAAAAAAAAAAATAACAGTGGTGCACAGGGCAGATGGAGCTATTAGACAGACAAAGCAAACCCTGAACCATATCAACACTGCTACAGAATGTGCAGTGAGACTATTGTGAGACAAAATAACGACCCAAACCGAAACCTCAGAAGGCAAAGGGGTATATTATGTGGAATCCACCAAAGACGAAAACATTTCACTTCCCAGCAGACAACGCACTACAAGGATGTTGCCCCACAACTTACTTCAGGATCATCAGTGTAGTCAAACATTCGGAAGGTGACTCTTGGCATCGGGTAAACGGAATCTGCCGTGTGGGGTGGGGGCGTAAAAGAAGGCAGGTTGTGCTGCAGCGCTTCACAAAGCACGCTGTCGAACGCCAGGTATGGCCTTGGGATGTGCCTCTCTTGCCAGTGGTCCTTCTTCATTTTCTGAATCTGAGCCCAAAGGCAATCTAAGTACTGGAAGACAACATCAGACATTTTTGTATTCAGAATTCAAGGACAATTCCAAACCCAGACTGATTTCCGTGCTATAGGAAACCACCCTACCCAATTTTCTTAGGAACCATTTCAGGGAGGAAATTCAGAATAAAGAAAAGCCATGAAAAGCCATTGGGAAGTCATTTGCATTAGAACAGTGTCAACTTCATGCAGCCGAAACTGGCATTACGTATTTGCCCTAGTGTTTCTTCAGATGGATGTCAGGACAAGAATTTGAAACCCTAACCCTATTCACCTCTTCTTGGGGATGTGGTTTATCAACAGACCAAACTTGTAGCATGGGCACATGAGTCTTCTGACGCCGTCTGCCAGAAAAGAACATAAACATTTTAAGTCTACTGATAATTGGTTTGCATTTCAACTCAGAAAGACTCTGAAAGAAACAGTACTTTATTCAAACCAGATAGTACATCTCAATCGGTGGGAGGCTTTGGGAGAAAGTAAATATTTGACTGTAAAGTTATGTGCTTTCAATCACCTGATTCTTAAGTACCTTAGGTTTTGAGGACAATTGGCTCAGCTACCATGTAGAAAAATGTTTCTAGAATCATACAGCCCAAGTCTTGAGAACATTCTCTCATCTGCCCTGTGATCATTTCAGATCCCTTTTTAAACAGCAAACTTGCCTACTGCTTTCCAGAATTTCACACTCATTTATTCTAATCTTGTCTTCAGAGTCAGTGGAAAACAATTATGAGCATGTGCCTTTCAACCAAATTTTGGGACTTTATCATTATTCTTCTGCAGCATCTCTGTCCATACTAAGAATGTTGTCAACTCTTTCAATGCTATAATGTCAGGTGGTGATGATTGAAACAAGGAACAAAATTAACTTGGTTTAAGCCTAAAAGTCTGAAGTTATTTATTACCTCTACATTTAACAGTCAATGCTTTTCTGCAAATGTATGATCTCTACATGTTCTATGTTCATGCCCCATTAAGATTTAATGATGTAAAGTAACATTTTTTCTCATTTTCTTACTTCAGATAGTTTTCAACAGTAGACAAGATGTGCTCCATTTCAGTATCCTTTTTCTCATAGAGTTCCTTTCCCACCCAAGGTAAAGATGACAGAAATGCATACACATACCAGTCACATCGAACCTAATAAGTCAAAATATGGACAACAGCATTCAGAAAATAATTTTGGTTCTTGCCATAAAAGCTAAATCAGGTCAAACAATGGAGTCTCACAGGAAGGACTGTTTTGATTCCACAAATCTAACTCTACGCTACGATGCTTCAGGTGCAAACTTTCAAGGGCCCAGCCAGGTTCATTTGTGCACACGAATGGTTGATTTTGATACTTCCAAAACAAAGGAGAGTACTTATTAAATCTGCACAAACTAATGAAAAAAATATATGACAAAAAAGCCAAAATGTTAGTTATGTTGTGTTGATGCTCTATTATTTACATTTTCTCTCCAAGGAGCTATTTCACATGCTCCTTTTGATTGTATTTAAGATGTACACTTACTCTCTGGTGTAAATGAAATCAGCCAGGGGCTGGTAAACGTTTGTAAATCATCAACAGCAATTGGCATATTTTCTACAAATTTAGGTTTTAGAAATGTTTAAGGAGCTACACTGTGGATCTTTTGGACTGTAGACTTGCAACTTGACATAGGATATAATGGTAAGGGCCTCGTTTGCCCATCTAAATCATTATTTAGATACCAGTTTGTTTTGCTGTACTTATGTTCCATCTAAAGACTACAAGAGACTGTGACAAGAGCACCAGAGGGCACGTAGCCAAATCTTATAGCTAACTGTTTAGGCTTTTGTTAGAATACTAGCTGAGGAGAGGCTTATCACATTTACAAACACAACACACAAAAAATAAAACAATCAAGTAACAAATTTCAGCAATTTATTTCCCTATCTACGAAGCAAATGTATTCTTGTTTACCTGAGGTACATCCTCCTCCTGCGTCACATTAACGAAATTCTCGAACATGGCTACCATTGAGGGTGCAGCTATTACGTGACAATTCACAAGATCAGAAAGAAAGCGCACCTGCACAAAGAGAGCATTCAGATATTTCTCAATCATATGTTTCTTCAAAGCATGGATCAGCAAGAGATTTCATAAAGCCAGGCAAGAGCCATGTGTCAGGGTTCCAAGTAGCTCCCCCAACCAAAGAAGACTCCAAGGCTAGCGATTCCTCAAAGTTCCATTTTATTGCAGATGTCATATTGGCATATCTGGGAAAACCTGAATCTGAGAGTTCTGGGTTTTCTCCACCCAAAAGAAAGTCAAAGATCCATCCCTTGCACCCACAAGTCCATCACATGTCCAATCATTTCAACGTCCCAACTGGAGACGGCCCCCAGTCACTCCCATCCAGATGCAGGCTGAGTGTCCTTGACTCCCGTAGAAAAGAATGTTGTTATGGCTAATCCTCCACCGGCTCCTTGCAATCCCCCTTCCCATTTTCCCAGGCTCTAAATGTGGCAGCCCTGAAACTCCAATGAAAAAGATAGGTTCCAGGACTGACACCCTGCAGAAGCCTAGGATGCATCTGCTTCAGCATTTTTTACGAGGATAACAGGAATCCCAGGGCCGATATACAACTGAATAGATGGTTAAACCTCATTTATTAGAAGCTGTGGTGAGGCAGTGGTTAAAGTGCTAGCCTGCAGCACTCTGCCATCAGCCTAGAGTTCGATCCTGACGAGGCTCAAGGTTGACCACCTTCCAGTCTTCTGAGGTCGATAAAATGACAAACCCGACTGCAGTATGCCAATAATCTTATATTGTAAATCACTCAGAGTGCTGCAATTGCTATGGGGCAGTATACAAACCTAAATGCTATTGCGATTGCCATCAAATTTAGATCACCAAACCTGACACACCACTCACACTGCAGAGCAGTTATGACAAAGTCAGAAGAAATAAGGTGAAAAGGCTTAGATGGGTGTATGTATGTATGCATGTATTTATTTATTTATTTATTAGACTTATATACCGCTTCATAGGGCTTTCAGCCCTCTCTAAGCGGTTTACAATTTTTTTTAGCAAATTGAGTCAGCAACTTGCCCCCACAGTCCGGGTCCTCATTTCACCCACCTCGGAAGGATGGAAGGCTGAGTCGACCTTGAGCCGGTGAGATTTGAACCGCTGAACTGCAGATCACAGTCAGCTAAAGTGGCCTGCAGTACTGCACCCTAACCACTGCGCCACCTCGGCTCTAATGAAATGTATGAAATGATCACACGGAATTACATTTTTTATCTTCACAATCTGTGAAGGCAAAATGTGAGCTCTTCAAATATACTGAAAATCAAATCAAGTGAAATCTCTAAAGTATGAAAACAACTTACTAAATAGACAGCTTCATTGTACAGGTTGAGTTTCAAACATTCTTTCAGCTGACGTATCATGGCTTCTACAAACTCTCCGCCAAAATTGTAGTTCCTGGCATTCAGCAAGCCAACAAGAGTTGTGTAAAGGGTCATCCTTTGTGGTAGCACACGTGCACTGATTTTTTTTTCATAAAGGAGAGAAAAAACAGCATCACTTATTAATTCAAATCACAAGTGCCATCTCATTACCCCATGTGTGATTTTCAAATTACCTAGAATGCCTAAATTTTGAAAAGCAGTGTCTTCTTTGACAAGAAGTCTACTATATATTGGAAAAAAGATAACATGAGAGTCAATTCAGTCTTCATTTAACTGTTTAGGTACTGCAAATCCCAGTGGGAAATCACACAGAAATGTATATAATTATGGGAAACATTCTACTGTGTACGTAACAATATATCTTCCAATGTTTCGATCATAGCATTTACATTGCTTCAGATTCAGGTGTCAGTATGTTCTTTGAAAAGTTGAAAGGAGAAGGTCTGAGGAGCAACAGCTCAGGCAAAAATGTAATTCTTTCTTTGAGCTCTTATGAAAATTCCAGATGAAGCTGGCACTTGCAAATAAGCATCTCAACACACAGCTACAGAAAGCAGGTTAAACTGCAGTTACCAAGCCTGAACAAGCAGCAAGAGAGACCTATTTTGACACTGTCCTCCTCTCCACTCTCCTAATTAATTACCTTGCTAATTATCCCATACTGTCTTCTAGTTTCCCATTCCTTAAATGGGAAAAATATGTAGCCATACAATATATTCAACAAAGAGCTTTGAAAAGAAACCTTTTTCAAAAGTAATTACTTAAAAGCTTTTACTATAACTAATGTAGGAGATGACCAGGCTGAGTCTGAGGAAGGGGTCAAATGCGTCATCAGTCTTGAGGACCTTCTCGCCCATAAGAGATCTATCTCCAGCCCATCTTGAATTCTCTTGACTCTTATCTACCAGCTATAGGCTATGAACGTTAGTACTTCAGATTTTCTTGTGGAGCTTTAGTATATAATAAATCTATATTCTGTTGACCTGCCTGGACTCTTGATTTCCTGCACTTGACAATTAATGCATCATCACCTAGATCCATAAATCTTTTGCATACATACACTGTACAAAGGAGTCTCAGTATTTTGCTTTTGAAGTTTGGCAGATGTGCCTCCAACACCTTATTCACATTATCTACGTTACTTTCCAAAGAAGAAGAACTCTGAGGGGATAAGATATTAGAAAGTCGTTATCTTATTGTTATATATATATATATGTATATATGTTACAAAGACACTTCTCATTAAAATGTCCTTTCAGTAGCTACAGTAGCTCCAAAAGCTATCAATTAAAGGATACTCTACTGCTATTCTTTCCCTCCTTACCTAATTGCGTTATTGAAACACACACACACACACACACACAAAAAGGGAAATGTAAGAAAATGAAAAATAAATGTATTTTCTTGATCATCCCACAACACTGTTCAATAACAGCCTCATCTGCAAACTGGTAAACCTTCATAATAATTTAGTCTTTACTTAGATAAAGGGGGACTAAGTAGGGATTCAGATAGGGTCAGCAGTGACAGGATTGCAAGTAAACAAGACCACTGAATAATAAAAATCTATAATCCTGATCTTTTGAGAGTTTTCAATCAAATCAATGAGGATGACTTGATCAGATCAGCAGTCATAAAACATTTCTAACTATTAAGTAAGTGGAATGGTATGCTGAATCCCCGCATGCAAAGTTGATTAGCACAATATTATTAGAAACTTAAACATAGTGTAATAGTTTATTGCAGGTTCCATTTGTAATTGACTATGTAAAATGTTAAGGTCCCATTATAGGATGATGGTGCAAACATTCCACATAACTGCTAAGTAGTATTTGTTTATGGTTCTTGAAATTATTAAGGCAGGTACTCAGTGGGATCGTATCTAAAGGAGAAAACTCCTTTTTAAAAAATACCAAAAATAACACAGTACACAGCAAATTTATTCCATTTCTAAATATATATATTTGTGATATTTCATTTGTATTTGAGTGTTTATGTTATTCTCAGATAGGGAAACCTGAAAGATCTCAAAATGAAGCTGCTAGTCATTTTACCTCTTCTCCCAATGTGCTTATTAAGTCTTCCAGCATCTCTGTTTCAGATATTTTTCTTCTCTTGTGCTGTTGTTCTATTTTAGCGAGACAAAACATCAGATGCCAAAATGAAAATCCAATATGGTTGGAGACATTGTGGAATTGTAATATTAAATATCAAAAATGTGACATCTATATGTACATTTTCACAACCCATTCCAGGAAAATACCATAAGATACTGCACTGACATTTTATGATATTGATTTTAGATAAATATTTCTATTTACTCATTAACAAAATTCCCCCTCACATTCTGTTTATTTCAAACGTGGCTAAAATAAGTTGATTGTAACCATCCTTCCCTTTCATCCTTTTGAAGACAAGGGCCCCCTTCATCTTCTTTTTTTTTTCAGATGACCTTAGAGACTAAACCACAATCCCTTCAATTGAAGGGATTAGAAAGGTTAAAAAAATAAAAGCACAAGGCATATTATTATTTCGGCTGAATCCGGTGGCAGAAAGTAAAAAGATGCCGATCATGATCTTCTCTTCTCTTCCCTCATATCTGAAATGGGAGCTCAGTTTCTGGACTGGGCCAAAGCAGAATCAAAATTTTACGAAGAAATATACCAAAGACAAAACTAATGGATGTATTCTTATGTCCATTTTATAATCTAATGTTGTTATTTGGGCAGAATCCAGTGGCAAAAATTAAAAAGATGTCTGTATGAACTTTCATCTCTTTACACTGGTCTGGTGTTCACTGACCAAGAGTTCACAGATAATCAATAGACCAATATATCTGCTTCACTTTTCCTAATATAAGAAGAAAAGAACTATACAAATTTATAGATTCATATACATATACATACATACATACATACATACATACATACATACATACATACATGCACCAAGCCTGAAGAAGCCTGAAGATGACGAATGAGACTTCGTCGAAACGTCGCCAAGACATCTCCAATTTTACGCGGGAGAAAACCCGAATAACTAGAGACCTACATACTAACACCCGCGAAAACCTCAGAAAACATACATACATACATACATACATACATACATACATACATGCACCAAGCCTGAAGAAGCCTGAAGATGACGAATGAGACTTCGTCGAAACGTCGCCAAGACATCTCCAATTTTACGCGGGAGAAAACCCAAACAACTAGAGACCTACATACTAACACCCGCGAAAACCTCAGAAAACATACATACATACATACATACATACATACATACATACATACATACATACATACATACAAAGGACACATTAGACAAGTA